AGTGCAGAATTTCTCTCTCCCTCCATGGCAGCAAACATACCTGATATAAAGTCTAAAAAAACTGGTGAATCTGGAAGAGTTTGAAGAGGGAAGACACCACGAATGGTGTTCTGAATTCACACATTTACTGCCTTTTATTCCCATTTAAATCTAGGTAATAATAAAGTAATGAGTAGCGTAATAAACTAATGCTGCTAAATCTTTTTTACAACCAGTAACGTGACTCAGCCTTTCGGACTCTGTGAAGAGAGAACAGCAGTGAGTAACAGATACGGACCAGCGTCAAGTCGTCAGTGCACGCGGACGTTGTTCGAAGGACAAAGACGTGTCTTGTGTGGCAGATTTCTAAGATATCTGATGTTGTTTTAAGTCTCATTTAGAAGCCAGTTGTGGATCAATATGCAAGTTTCATTAGTGTGATGTGGATTTTTGTGAAAAACCATATCAGACACACATTATAATTCAGCGTGAAGTTTATGTATATACATGTCTGGACTCTGGAGTAAGTGTTTGAATGAAAAGTTGCTGTAAATAAAACTTTAAAACTGCCCTAGTAAAATTAATTTCATAAAGTTGACTAAAGGACTCAAATCACAGGTTTAGGCAACATGTTATCTGCTTATTTCTGTGCTAATAACATCCGAAAGTGATTGTACATTCACTGCTTTACCAAAACAATACATAAAACTGTATTTATATTAGATAATAAAATCATTTTAAGTACCCGATAATATCATTATATGCTATTCCCACTGCCATGACCACAGATATTGAAATGTGACTGTCTGGCTTCTTCACAAATACAGTAACCTTTAGATCTGTATTTCAGTAGTACACAATAGTTTCAGTAAATACTGTAATTTTAATTAAAGAACTGCTGTATTTCCTGTAATAATTCTATCATCACGTTGACCAATATTTCGTCTGCTTGCTTACTTCTTGCTCGGTGTTGCAGATCCTTCATGGGAGCCTGATCCCCAGGCGGGTCACAATCATGAACAGACCCAGGACCGACCGTGTGGAGGTCCACAACCTAATTCAACAGACACGCCATTGTCACATCACCCCGTATGTCCTGCACTGTGCACAACAACAAAATGCATAGCTGCACACACATGTGAGTACCGTTTACGCAACTTATTTAGATTTTATTTAAACAACAGTGCCGATGTGTCTTCAGACGTTTGTGTCGGTTGTCATTTAAGGTCCGACCTGCGACGAAGGCTGGGTGGAGATCCAAAGCAAGAGAACCATCAAAGCAGAGAACGAAGTAGAAGCCAACAAACTGGTCAACAACTACAGGGTAAAGAGAGTCTAAAGGAAAATGTTTCCCTACACAAATCAAAAGTGGCTTATCCCTCAAACTGTTTGTGTGTTTGTCTCAGTTCGGATTTAGAAAATGGAAGAGCCATGTGACAGAGCGTCCGCTTGAAGTCAGGTCAGAGGTTGTGAAGGAGCTCTACTCTGAACTGAACGTCATTAAACCACATTCAGGTAAAGGTTATAGTTGCCTCTTGTTGAAACATAATTCAGGTTTATGACAACCGGAGCCTTGATTTTGTAGATGTGGCCATTATTTCTTAGGATAACACTAGTGATCACACAAACTGAGATCTGGGAACGCGACAACAATATCTGAGGGGGCGAGGAACGAGAGAAAAGGTTTTACTGTGCACCTTTTCTCTTCCAAAGAAGTTTGGCTAACCTGGTTATTTGTTTAAAAGCTGTTATGATCCTCTAACAGCGTGTTTCTTGCCCCATCTGTGTTCCCAGATCTCAGTAATGAACTTGGTGTATAAAGTATAATATTACTGACTGAAAGAAATGGCTAAAACTACAAAAATAAGATGCAAGTTATAATAAATCTGCATTATCCCACATATATATATATATATAGGGAAAACTTTCACTAACTTTCACTAAAGATTTTGTCTTCTTGGTGTCAGGTCGTCTTATCACATGTGGAAATGTAGCGTATGTGTTCTTCTTCGGCTGGTGGGTCTCTCTGGCATATTTCTTGGTCGGCATACTTATGTTTGTCACTATCGCTGGTGCAGTGTACGGTAAGTGAACCGATCAGCAGAGAGTAATGATATTGTTTACTACTGATCAGATACCTCATTCATGTTTGTTTTCTCTCACTCTTCAGGCAGACTTTGCTGGAAATTGTCGAGTTACTTCCTGTGGCCATTTGGCAAGTCAATCCACGAGGTACTGTGTGGGTTCAGTAGATGTTTGTGATGCTGTCACTTTATCTGTTTTCTACAAACTGAAATGAGGAAGATGCTCTTTGAATCTTGTAGTTTCCTCATAGTCTCTCACTGACTTGTGGTCATGAAAGCAGAGGTATTGCTTTTTCTAAATAACACCACAAGTGTGCAACACTTCACAGTACGTATGCTGCAACTCATCAGTGCAATACATTGGTGAGATTTGTTGTTTCTGTTGTAAGAATGAGTTTTATGTTAAGGACAGGTTACAGACTATGTGTCCTGTTACACTGAGGTAGTTCATGCATTTCTGTTTAGGTCAATTTTATGCCCTCTTCTGTATATTTGTATATTCTCCCACTTGGAGATATATTTATAGATTATACAGAGAATACTAGGGATGGGACGATGTATATTATCGCGTATCACAATACAAAACACTTCAGGATAATCTTCATCCTCACATGGCTCGACTTAAAAAAAGGCATGTAGCTCTCCAGCATGGAGTCCTATATTAATTTCCTGATTTATTTTGAACAAAGGGACAAGGGGGAGCCTGCATCTTTCCAGTTATTCTAAAATCCTAACCCTGTCACCATGGCTGAAGGCTTGGCTTTCCAGTTGTATCCCTCACACGAAAGAGATGAGGTGTCCATCTGTGATGCACTAAATTTGTGTTTATTAAATAAATGTAAGGTAAAGGGATTCCATGTATGTTATGTTATGTTATGTTATTGTCATGGTAATATGAAGATAAATATAAATTTTTGTCCCTAAATGATACACAATTGTGACCCTGATGACTTTGTGTCACTCCTGTTGGCATTATTATACGTCAACCAAGTGTTGAACCAGAAACCCGCTGGATGAATGTCATGAAATGTGAGGTTTCCAGAGTTCGTCTTTGGTGCTCGGGTTAAAATCTGTTTCTGTTGTGTTTTTTTTGCCTTCTTTGACTGGTTTCTCAAGGTTTTAAATCCTACCTATGGCATACAAAAAACTGCACATTTAGGAACTTTTGTTGTGTAGCCAAAGGTCAGCAAACGTCTTTCAGTAGAGGGAACAGAAGTGCCAGTAGAAGCAGAAGCAGGTATCAAAAAACAGGTGATCTGAGAACATATCATGAGACCATAAAAGAGGAGAGGTCATACTTGTATTTTGCTTTGTGATCAATAAGTTATAACCCAAAAATATCAAAGCATGCACTTCAAAAATGGGCTTTACGCCTATACATTTCGACTCACAGTCCTCTTGAAACCAAATAGCAGCTTAAGTGTATAACAAGGCTGCTGCCAGTTGACAATCAGAGTAGCACTGGATAATTGTAACTGCTGCAATCAATAAAGTGGCATATCTGATGCTATTCATTGTATGTGTGAAGGATTTAAAGATATAGATGTCTTGTAAGAGTCTACCTAATTATGGATATACCCACTTTATTCTCTTTGAACAAACTTCTACACTAGTTTCCATTTTTAATTTCTCATACTTTTTTTTTTTTGCCATCTATTATTTAATCGCATATTTGATTTGCTTTTGTGGTGTAGTTTTGACAAGATTTGAGTTATTTATCAAGCATAAATGCCAAATATGCATATCTGTTCTAAAATGTGCAGATTTGCTGCTTTTATTTGTTTTATAGCACTGTAAATGGGATATCTTTGGGTTTGAGCTTGTTGGTCAGATAACCTTGGGGAAATTGTGATGGGGAGAATATCAGACAGATTAATAGATGATTAAATAATTGTTAGTTTATAATTAAACTGGATTACATATAAAGTTTGTGTTCTAATGAGCCAGAAATAACACTTTCCTCTGGTTGTGTGTTTGTCCAGATTGGAAATACTTTGAGGAGATGTTGTGAGCAAGCACCAGACTGTGATTGTAACATAGACGGGACCGACGATAACTCACCAGTTCTGCTGCCTTCACCCACAGAGGTGCCAATCCCAGAGCCGCTAGGACGACCTCTGCGCACTCCCTACTGGGTAACTTTCCACACTTACAATTTACAATACACAAGCACCTTTTTTACTGTATATATAACTAATTTCTCCGAGTGGTGCTTTTGTTGTGTAGCATCGTTTCTCCACCTATGTGTGGCTGCTGCTGGGATATCCTCCTCTGGTGGTCATACACTCCCTGGCCTGCTTCTTCTCCTGGATCCTGGTCTTCACTATCCCCGTTTCCAAAATGAATGCACGGACTCTTGGCGTCATTCTCCTCTTGGCTCCTGAGGATGTCTCTGTCTCCACCTGCTCACAGAGAATGGCACGGGAGAGATTTAATATTGATTATCGACAGCACATACACCTGGAGGCATTATTCAGTGTTGGTTTTATGCTTTATTCTTAATTTTTTTACTTGACCTTTAGCATCAAGGCTATGAGACCAGAGCTCTGCTGTGCTGCTACCACGCTGTAAACCTGTACTATTACAAGTACACTGTTGATGGGATCAATGTGTTTGCCGTCAGTATCCTTTACCAGCATATATGAAGTGTGCGTGTGTCAGTGTGTTTGTATGAAGACCTGTTGTTATCCTTGACCCCCATCTCAGACCTCCTCCCTCTAGTAATAATTGCCTTGGTAATCGGATATATTGACAGAGAAAACCAATACGCCAGCTCTGAGGTGAAGTTCGCCATAGCAATCGGCTCCATCATACCTCTGTCTTATTATATTGGTATGGGCATTGCCAGGTGAGCTGCTTTCATTACCTTAAAACAACACCTGTACAGTGACTTTTAGTAAAATTAATTGAATTTGACGTTGCACTGTACATCTTGTGTACCAAAAATGTTAAACAGTCCCTCCAGGATTTCACAGGCTTTTTTGGGGGGGATTCTTGCAGCCTAAATTGTTTTTACAATTTTTTTTTTTTTTTTTTTTTTGCAATGAAATTGTGGGAGAAAGATTTTTCTTCTTGTATGATTCATGAAAAATCAAAGGCACCTCCTGTGAGAATAAAACCGTCCTGTTTAGAGTAACTTTACCATTAAGGGTCAGTATTATGAGGGTAAATGCATTTACACGTCTCTGCATCGTCTCCAACTTCACAATTAGGAAGCAAGTTTGGTGACGTTTGGCTCAACGTTCTGCGCAGGAAACTTAAATGATTAATCGATCACAGCATCACAACTTCCTGGAGGGACTGGTTGAAATAGTGACAGATTGTATTACAAAGTGCTTGTGGTGTTAACTGTCGATCATTTGCAGTATCTCAGCCCAGAGTAACTTTGCTGTGGGTGCAGTGGTGAACGCCAGCTTCGGCTCCATCACAGAGTTGACCTTTTACATCACGGCCCTGGTCAGAGGTCACCAGGCAGCCAACCCGTGTCTGCAGGAGGTTGTTAAAGCAGCGCTGACTGGCACGCTGCTCGGATGCATCCTCTTCATCCCTGTGAGCAAACCTGCGTCAGTGACTCTGTTACATCACAATGGAGACATGTGCAAACACAACAGTAATATAACACGTATTTACTTTTTCTCAGGGCGTCTGCATGATAATCGGAGGGCTGAGACACAGTGAGCAAACATTCAACAGTCGCTCTACGGGAGTGAGCTCTCCGTTGCTTTTCATCTCTGTAGGAGGCAAGTACCAACACATATGTGCTGTATGACAAATGAAGCTACACGACTCTTTATCATATAGAAATAGGAAACATTTTTCTTTTTTCTAGCTGTACTTGAGTGAATGAAGGGCTCCTAACTTCCTCACAAACTCATCCTTTCACATTTAGTCAGCGGCACTTTGGTAGAAGCTGATTGGTTATTCTCAGACGGGCTCAGATGTTTGACATTATCAGCAGGAAACTAGCAGGAAGCAGCAGTGAAGACCTCCAGATGCAAACATGTCATTTTTGCCTCCTAAAAGCAGAAAAGTAGTTGCTTTAAGTATGTGAGGCTTGCGCCACCTGCAGTTAACAAAACTTACAGCTACATTTGTTTTCTTTGCAGCTGCAGTTTCCATATGTTAGCTCAAATAAATTCTAAACGTTTAACATAATTGTGTCACACTAATCTCCAGTAGATAAATATTTCCATTCCTAAATACTGTGTGGATTAATCTTTTTGGTAGGTTTGATATGGTAATAAAACCCTATTGCAATTATTTTGACAGATATTGCGATTGTGATATGATTTGTGATTAGTTGGAATGATAATTTTGTTGATGATGTGACATTTGTTTGGGTCTGTAGCACCAAAACAAACCTGTTTTCTTACATCTGGAGAACAAGATTTTTAGGCCAGGGCCTTTATTATAATGTTATTATTTTGCAGCTCTAGTTTTTTTGGACACCATCAGAAGAGTAATTGTGTGGAGAACAGAAAGTTACCTGATCAGACCAATAAAAAATGACTTGTTATGAGATGATCTCAATGCCCAAGGTAATGTATATAATTTAAACATTCACCTCCAAATGTATCAGTCTCAACAGCAACAGAAACAGCTGCTCAGGTGTTTTCTAAACTCTATTTCTGTCTGCCGAAGCAGAAATCCACAGCGATATAAAAGCCTTACCAAAATGTTCTACACTGATTCATTTGCTTGACTGTCAATTGCAGGTGTGTTTGCCCCCACGCTGTTCTCCAAAGCTTATGGAAATCTGGTGTGCGATGCCTGCACCAACTCCACTGGAGGAAATAGCACGAGCAACAGCAGCGGGCCGTTCGTCTGCCACAACTGTCACTACGATCTGGTCAGCATCATTAGCTAAACCTTTGAGTCTCATTATAACAATAACAGTATATGACTTACATACGCTGTATTATGTGTAATGTGTTTGTTTGTTTTCCCCAACAGAATAACGGTACATTGTTCCACAACCATGTTGAGTAAGATATTATATATTTTATATTTTTTATATACCAACTGTAAGATATTAGACTATATTGGTGGTGTTGCATGTATTAGGCTTTGATTGTAGGTGTGGATCCATTTTATTTACATTCATTGCAGCATACAAATCACTTTCAGAAACCTGAAACATTGAGATAATGTAATCTATTACATACAACAACACAGCCTATGTTTCTTTATTTTTAAGTTGCTCTACTATCACTATGCTGTTAGCAGAGGTCAAGAGTTAACGTTCATCAATGTCCACATTTGCTTGTTATCTTTCTTCTTGGTATAATTTTCAACAAAAGTCAACAAGGAGTTTAACACTTTTTTCTTGAAGTTGATTTTGAAACAAATTCAAGAGGAGATGAGGATAGGAGTGTTTGGCACCACGGGTCCTGGAAAACCTGGAAAGTTAGAGACTAATCCTGGAAAATATAAATTGTATTGTAGCCTGTCCTGTGGTCAAATTGTTATTATGGTTAGAGGAAAACTGTAGTCAGTTCGGAAACGGCTGTGGTGAGAACAGAAAGTGTGCCAACTTGGAGTTTCCTGTAAGTGCTGTCGTGTATTGTCAAGAAAAAGTCCTGGAAAAGAAACCCTGATAATAAACCAGAGCTAAAACCTGCAAACGTCACCATATGGTCTTTCAAGTTTCTGAAAGAATTCAGTAAGCTGTTACATCCTCTTTATTTTTCCTTCCTCTCGTTCATTGTGTTCGTTCCTGTCGTCAGGCCACTGGTGTACACGGTGTCTGCCCTCTTGCCAATCGCCTACATCATTGGTCTGATATTCACACTGAAGACGCACTCCCATATTTATGACATTCATGTTGGAGAAGAACAGGGTAGGAATCTCCCTCTCATGATGCATCTGTATCTTGTTTTTTTTTTATGCAGTGAGGGCACAGTTCTCTAATACTGACATATCACACCATAATGTCTTTGTTTGTGTCTGCAGTGACTGGCCACCACGGAGCAGTGGTCCACTGGTCACGGTGGAGATCTATGGTCATCCTCATCATGGCCACCGTGCTCACGTCTGCCTGTGCCGATCTCGTCACAGAGAACATCCAGCCCATACTAAACCAGCCCAACATCTCTCAGGTCAGGGCATGCGTCTTTTGCAGCTTTTTATTTAGTTGTTTTCCTCCGGTGGTGTTAATGTTTGTATTTCTTTCTCCAGTATTTCATTGGAGTTACAGTTCTCGCTATGGTACCCGAGATCCCAGAGATTGTTAATGGGATCCAGTTTGCACTCCAAAACAACATCAGTCTGAGGTAAATCCTGTCTTTTATTAAAAAAGTTACTGTTTAAAAGTGATATCTGTATTTTAAATGATTTCTTTCTCTTTCTCAGCTTGGAAGTGGGAATCTGTATCGCAGTTCAGGTCTGCATGCTACAGATTCCAATACTGGTCTTTTTTAATGCCTTCTATGTAAGACGCCTCCTTTCTTTATTTTGATCATTGATTCATTCATATAAAGACCTACTGTTTTTGTAGTTTCTGTAATCAAACATCATCTCTGTTTCGGATAGGATGTGGGATTTGTGCTGTTATTCAGTGACTTGCACCTGTGGGCCAGTTTCTTCAGTGTGATTCTTGTCAACTATATCTTCATGGACGGAAAGTCTGATTATTTTCAGGGTAAGTTTAGAGTGTTTTAACCCGACTTTACCTATTGATGTGCTTGTGAAACATAAGATATGAAAAGGGAGGAAAGACACGTTTTTTAAAGATTTAAAGGTCCAGTGTGTAACGTTTCGGAGGATCTATTGGCAGAAATAGAATATAATATTCATAGGTGTGTTTTCATTAGTGTATAATGAGTCTAAATATATGTTTTTGTTACTTTAGAACGAGAGGTTTTTATCTACAGACTCCACAAGTTAACTTCCATGGAGTCCGCCATGTTTCTACAGTAGCCCAGAGCGTACAATCAAACACTGGTTGTAGACAGGAACTTTAACAGCTTCTCCACACACTTCACAGCCCGCTCTCATTCCCAGGGTGCGAGCAGTGTTCAGTTAGTTGCAATCTGCCACTTCACTGCGAGATGCCACTAAACCCTACACACTGCATTCCTTATTATGCTTTGAACGCTATCCATCAGTTAACATTTGGTTTACTTGTTAGGTAAATGTTGTAGTTTACTGCATTTAAAAGTATCTATTCATGTCTGTTTTTAGATTATTCATGTCATTTCTCTGGATAACTTTGCTGAATTACCTCAATATATCTTTTTTTATATCAGTCAATGATCCTGGGAGTTTTATTCAGGAAAGTTATTCACATAACTCAGTAAACCTGCTCTGGGTGCATCTAAATTACTGTTCCCTGTTATGGACTGCCATATAGTTAATATAGTTTGTTTTGTTTAAGAATTGATACATGCTAATGCAGTATCATCTTTAAACATTAGGGATCTTTAAATCTTAAATGATCAATCTTATATTCAGTGTTACTTCCTGTCTCTTTCCTTTCAGGTACAGCCCTGGTGGTCGTCTACCTTATTCTACTCGCTATGTATTACTTCGCTCCATCTCCAGCAGGCTGCTGACTGTGACACTTTTCAGGCCTTTTTTAAGCCCGGAGGACCACAATTAATCTCTGTTGATGAGATTTTATCCTGACAGTATTATGACTTAATGATCATGTGTGAATCCTGACATCGGCCTTTTTATTATTCATTTATTTCCTAAGTTATACAAATGACAAAACTGAACTTTTAATCTCAGGTAGATACTTCTACTATAAAACGTAGCTTATAAGCTACCTAACTGTCTCATAACTTATGTTCTTTGTAAACTGTCGTACATGCAAATTGATATTATAATGTAAAGTATGTGAACTAATGCTATTTTGTTTTAAAAGGTACTGTTGTAATAAATTTGTATACTTTAACTCCATAGTGTTAAAACGGGACATGTCTGTTACAGTTAATGATATAAATGATATTGCATGGTTAACTATGCTTAGCAATAACAATAACATCTGTCACAACATTTTGAAAAAACTGGCTGCCTGTGTTTTTATTGTTTGTACAGACAGGAATTACAAAACATAATGTACATTACAGCCATAATTGCCTTTGAGGAGACATTCACCTTTTCTCCCAAAAGAAGATGTAAAGTGACATGCACACCATACCGACATGCAAAAGAGATCATTTTAACATCAAAAATGATGCAAATATAAAACATCTCAATCTTAAGCAAGGCCGTACATTTACAGAGTCCGAGCACATACTGAAGCAGACTGTTGCTTCACAATGAGATATAAATAAGGCCAGAACATGTCAAACATAAGTTACTGAAGTGGAGTTTTGACTGTGAAGATGGGCATTATGATACAAGAAGTTTTAGATGAATTAGCTTAATATTAGTTTACAGTGAACATGTAAAAAAAAGAAATTTCTGCAGATACTCGATATTCAAATTCAAGATATAGAGGTTGACAAAAAACACAAGCAAACGTGTGACTCGATACAAGCAGCTGGGAGAATTACCACAGGATTTTAGATTTATAGTCCACTGTAACGGCAAAGGGTTTGTTTTCATCCAAGTCGGGTTGTCGGGTTTCACAAAAGTGAGATTTTGGCGAATGATAGAGCTCAACAGAGTCTGATCACAGTATTTAACATCCTGAGTATGCCTTACATACTCTACCTTGTTACACAATTCCCATGCCACTTACACCATGTACTACAGCACTACTTTCTCTAGAAAAACAAGAAAAATAGTTAAAATAATAATAATAATAATATTGCAGTCTATGTTACAGTATAAAAAGGTTAAAATGGAGTTTAGGCTTCAAGTGGGAACAATTAACGCAGGTGAAAAAAGAAAGCTGTAGCAACACGTTCTGCAACAATTCAAAGTTTTGTAATGAAATGAAAACAGCAGCACAGTGATTAAAATAAATAGGTAGGGGTGGGGTGGACAGATCTTCAGCTGCAAGCGGCATCTCCTGATTAAACATGAGCAGAAAGGTTCTGTAACAAAAGGTTCAAGTGGAAAGCACCAGGGGTTACACGTACACAGTTCGGAGAGCAATAACCAAATAAAAACCTTAAAGACTAATTTATATAATGTGCAATATGCGTGTGACAGTTTGGACATTCAGAAGGCACCAAATGAAGAAATAAAAAGGCTTGAGAATCACTGTGGAGCTACGGGTGTATAAATTAATTAAAAAGAGGCACAAAAAGATTCACAGTGACGCCATGTCTCAGATGTTTGAAAGATCTGATCACAAGGCCTAATGTGACCAGTGAAGGGAACATTTTCTTTCTAATTTGACTGGTAGAGTTGTAATCACAGCTCCGTATCAGCATGCAGTCGGAAAGTCCTTGAGGCAAAAAACATGATTCCTTAAATAATTGACCTAATTAAGACAGTTAAGAGATATCACAGTTACAACGTGTTCGTCTTCATCAGCAGTGTGCCTCTTTACAGAGAGATGTCTAGATGAAAAGTTAAGTTTACGTCAGCATTTCTTATCTATCCTGTGTCACAGTGGGTGTAGCAGCAGCTGAGTGAACATGTGTCAAAGATGGCAGCAGTGTGGAACAAACTGATCTCAGCCTGTCTGAAGCTACAATTACACTAGCACAAGCAACATTCATTTTTCCTTTCAAGAAGTGGCGTCAAGAACGATTAAACAATTCATTCCTCGTGCTGCACAAGACAGTGATGTGTGGTAAGAAAACACAAATAAAAAAGAGGAGTGCACTGCATAGTGGACCCAAAATGACAAGAGCAAGTACCAGGAAGTGGAAATCTGACACATTCACATACAGAGAAATGCAAAAACACTGCACTATGCATTTGTCTTAAAAAAAAAAAAAAAAAAAAGCACACACATTTACATAAGACAAAAAGGCATTCAAAGTTATTTCATAACCATCCGACATCCTCAGACTTTTCTTTGTAGTTTCAACAGCTTTTTCTTGCAAAGGTAACAGTGATTTTAGAGTCAGTGATGTTGATTCACATACTGTACCACATCCTTCGGTCTCCGTATCTTTCCGTCTATTTGAGCCGCTGAATTAGTGTGTGCGTCATTCCCAGGCTGAGCAGCTGAAGGGTGGACAGTTGGGCTACGTGAGGGAAAGTTTTCAGCAGTTTCTCCCATGTGAGTTCCAGCAGGCTGGGCACCACCAACCACACTTTGTACAAAGAGCCAGTCCTCCTATTCCCGGACATGTTCACGACACCGCCGTGGACGTACATACAGCCAGCCTGAAGGAGAAGAACATTAACTTTATTCATTTATTCTCACACACACACACACAGCACACACACAGCACACACACACGTGGAGAGATGGAGTGGAGGGCTGCCACTAAGCGGCGCCCCAGGAGCAGTTAGGGGTTTGGTGCCTTGCTCAAGGGCAGTTCCAGTTCACCTCCTGAGCACTGGCACCACTCCAGCTACCAGTCCACACTCCATACTATGGTCCATGCTGGACTTGAACCGGTTCTCAAGCCAAGTCCTTTATGGACTGAACTACTGCAGAAATTAAGCGCTGCAACAACTAAGCGACATAAAGATAAAATTGATCATCAATCATGACATTATTATAGAATTTTTGGTTTCACACCAATATAAGGATTTTCTGTTTTTCCATTTTAGGTAAATTTTGTATCTTTGGCTTCTGTTGACATTTAAAGATGTCACCCTACTTTCTGTCATTATTTAAACTACACAATTAATCAGGTATTAGACAAAAACAAATTGTTAGATTAACTGATGATGAAAATAATGATTCGCTGTAGCCCTACAAAAGCAAATAAAACAATTTTTTATTAATTTATTTTCTCACACAGTTCAGAAGAGAAATCGGCTGACCAAGTTAGATGTTGACATGATGATACTTGACTAACCGGAGTGACTGCAGCACAGTGAAAGTAGGCTGGTTCTGGCATGACAGCAGGCAGCTTGGTCCACTGAAAAGTCTGCAGGTTGATCTTCCACAGGTCGGATAGGATCAGCTCTCCATTATAACCCCCACATATAAACACCTCTGAAAGCAGCAAGAGAGATCATATAAAGATAAACATTTTAGACCGGCGAGTCCAGATAATGCTGTGTGAAATACTCCTTACCGTCTTTGACCTGCACACAGCTGTGACACCGGCGGGCGGCAGGATATCCTGTCACAATAATGACAAAGTAAATTCAGTGTGTGGTCTTTAAATTCTTAACTCAGCAAATACAAAAAAAAGGTAAAACATGAATCACAAACCTATTCTTTCATGAGGTTTTGTGACGATTTCCTCCCAGTAATTTGTCTCCAAGTTATATGCGTGAATCTGATGAAGATAAATAATATTAAAATAGATAAAATGAAGAAGTAAGACATCTTCTGTCAGTCAAATTTAGTCTGTTGGTTCATTCCTCTCACCTTGTCCAGCGGATACGACATCCAGGAAGTGCCACCTCCTAAAATGTATATTCTCTGTCCGTCATGAGCTAGTTCATGTCTGTACCTGTAAAATCATACATTTATTTTCAGTCTTTTCTAATGAATATTCACCAATAGGTCAAACATACTCTAGTTTATAAAACCATGTCAGGTTTCTGACCTCTCCTCAGGCAGATCTGAGGGTGCGTTGTTGGGTTTGAGGTGGGTCCACTCTCTGCTGCTCAGGTCCAGCCTGTGCAGGTCGGTGCTGTAAAGGTAGCCTGTTGTCCCTCCAAACACGTAGAGGTAGCCATTTATGATGACCATCGCCTGCAAATGAAGAACGGTGATAGAGGTGTTGTCGGTGCAATGAGAGTTATAAATAAATGATGGACTTTATCTATTTATGTGAACCATCTATAGAGACAAACACCGTTACCTGCCCGTAGATCTTGTTGGGTTTCTTCCCTTTGCAGTTGAGCAGGTTCCATCGTTTGTACTGAACGTTACAAACATGGACATCATTGCCGTTGTTTTCGCCAAACGGGATCCCAGTGCCGCCAAACACAAGCAGGTTGTTACCGTGTAAAACAGCTGAAAGAGACGGAGACAATCGGTCTCTACTAGAGTTTAAGATCCTCTTTACTATCCCTGATGAGGTTGCTTCAAATCTCAAAAACACAATACATGAGATGGATAAAAAAAAAGAATCTGTATTAAAAGTCCTCTGTGAATTTTGGACCACTTTTGGCACCATAGAGCAATGTTTGGAGGAATGTTGTTTTGGTGTCACTGCCAAGTTTATCCAACAGAGTGCGCTGTGATTTACAATACAGCACAGAGTAAGAGAGAGAGAGAGAGAGGAAGTTCTCTCTGCAGTGTCAACTAGAATTAAATAACAATGTAAATGGTAAATTATTTAACATGTTAAAGAATATTTAACTTACATATTCTTTAATAAAGTTCTTTGTTAAAGAAAGCAGAGATGAACAGAAAAGGTCTATTTTCATTCCAGCTGAAAAATGAACTATAACAGCTGCCATATTGGTAATTGGTGAATTTTCCCCCTCTAAAATCACTATCAGCCTTAAAAACCCCACACTGGTCGAGGCTCTACTTTCTACCAGCATGCACAAGATGCAAATGCAAGGCAGGAGCATGAGGGTGATGCATGTGTGTAGACGGTGGGACTGAAAGTCAACAGTTGATGGTAATCGCACATACTCACTACTTAAAAAAGACAAAGAGGTGATTATATGAACTAAAACATACCAATGATTATTATATTTATGCCAATAGATCCTCTTAAACGTTACACACGGGATCTTTAAATCACTCAGAAAATTAGGTTACTGCAACAAAAAGCCTGACTGTAATCTGTTTACTTAAGTGCATGTAAACACACCTTTTGCTTGCAGTGTGTCAGTCAGCTCAGGTTGAGGGCATTAAAAGGCGCCCTGTGTTTACAATCAGTGACACTCGTTGTCTTGAGCTCTATCTCAAGAGTGCTGAACCCTTTTGCGTCCACATACAACATTATTAAAAGCCAGCTTGCCTTCGTAATGGCTTTGATGGTGCATTACTGCCACCTGTCGATCAATGGGATCGTGTGAAACCACTGGCAGGTATAGTGTAATGAGTCACCTGCATGCAAATGTGCACAAGGGCAAACAAAACAGGGCCTCAGTCATACAAACGTTCGCTGCAACCTTTAGAGACCAGTAGCTGGTTCTAAGCGAGTGTGTGTGCAGAAATAATTCTGATTAAAATGAAGGGCAGCACATGAGTCCGTACCCGACATCGAGGCCAGCTCTGTGGGCATGTAACCCTCTGTGCGGACCTGCTGCCAGGTGGCTGTGGCGAAATGAAACCGCCACAGCTCCCTGAAAAGAGGGTAGTCTTCGTTCTCCGACCCGCCGGCCTCCTCAAAGTCTGGGTTGTAGCCTCCAAACACGTACAGGTTGGCACTGTCCGCAACACAGCGGTGTCCGCTCCGGGCGGGGGGGACGCAGTGTCCTGTGGAGCATTCAAGACAAAGAATTGTTTAGACCCTGATGTAGATGCAAAAGGACATCGTTTACATAAAATACTGAACGTCAAAGAGTGTTTACTGCTTTACAGCTTTACAGATTGACTGCGTTTTACGGAAGAAGTCTAGTTTATCTGATGTCGCGGAGTTTCACCACCTTCTCTCAGGAACCTGTTGGGAATCCGCAGGCTGGGGCAGGAAGGGGAGAAGATGCGCCGAGCCTGAAGCCACCGTGCTCGCTTCTTGGACCCTGTCAGACAGGAATGTGTACAGTTAATGTTAAAGTGTTTCAGGAGGTGGACTGATGGTAAATCTGCAGGAGAAGAGAGTCTCTGGTTGGGAGTTTATATCAGCTGTTTCTGTCTTGGCACAACATTTTGTTTGGTTGAAAATGTAATTTATTACTCATTACTCTTGTCATAAGTAATATTACTACTTTACTCATTACTCCCTGCCCACAGTAATTATCTACACTACCAATTATTTTACTTTTGTGCCCCTGATTCCACAGTTTTGTTTGAATATAAGCAATCTAGCTTCCTCCACCATTACAAAACAATGAATATTAGTATCAGGGGTTGTAACTTATTATTGTTTTAAAGGGAGTAACTGTAATTATGACTTTAATGTATTAATAATTAGTCACTGAGGGAAACAGTGATGCCTTACTGCGCAGCACATACATAAATCAACTTTTATCACCAAGTATTGGATGTTTCAGTGAAGCAGCTGATGTTAACCTCTCTTTATCTCTTTCTCTCTCTCTAACACTTCCCCCCTTATTTAAAGAAAACAACCCCCACAGCAGTGCCTGCAGATGCCCCCCCTCCCCCCGGGGGCTGTTCACTCACTCACTCACTAATGTCTGCTGGCTTCCGTAGCAACATTAGCTCGCTCCTGGCCTGTGTGCAACAAAAACACCCAGAAACAAAACCCAACATCAGCGACGAACAACGCGACCTACATTAACCTTTGACCCTCTGTTTGCTTTACTGTCTGCACCACGCTGCTTGCACTCGCAGGAGCGTTGTGTGTTGTTATTATTTGTTGTATTATTTTTGTTGTTTACAGACCTGAGTCGCGGATGAAGGGCCTCCACGACAGTTTCTCAAACTTATTGAGCTGTTCGGCGGACGACATCTCGACAGGGGACCGCAGGGAAGGGGACTCGAACCCGCGCAATTAACGACCCGCTTCGGTGTGGACAAACGTAGAGGCATGTGAGCCTGTGAGCCCCGAGCGATCGCACCAAAACAAAAAGACAAAACAACCGGAGACCGTCCACACCTGCTGCTGCCCGCCGCGTCACAGCCAGCTGGTCCCCCGGCCGACCAATCAGAGGAGAGGGAGCTCACCGTGCTGCGTTCAAGAGCCGCATGGTGGTGTTGATAGTTGGGGCACTGTTTGTCTTTGTCAACACCTATCGCTTAGTATAGCTTACAGATTTAGATATAGATATATTGATTATATTCTCTAATATAAGTTACTGCTGTGTGTGTATGTGTGTGTGTATGTGTGTGTGTATGTTCTGTGCACCATGCCACTACTTCTAATCTTCCAATCATATCAATAATAAATGTATAAAAGCTCTATATAGCTGTATTTAGTGCACACACACCTTTTTTTTTATTATTATATCTAGTGTTTTTCTGTTCTGTTTTTTATTTAATGTGTATTTTCTTATCTGTTGTGTTGTATCTGGAGCTGCTGTAGCAAGTGAATTTCCCCAGGTGGTGATCAATAAAGTTTATGTTATATCTTTTATTTATCTTTTTCCTTAAGGGCAGTGGTTTTCAGCCTTCTTGAGTTAAAGGCATGCTAGAAAACATAAATAAAATACACACAGCTCAGCATTTGGTTCAGTAAATGTAAAGTAAATTGTCTAAAAGAACAATGACCAAGTGTTTAAGGGACAAGAAAAGACAGAGAAAACACTGAATTTGAAGCCTAGTAAGTCTGCATGATTGTTAAAAATGTTTTTTTTTTTAAAATTACTAAGGCAGAGAAATTGTATAAAAAGTTCATCAAAGGAATATCTGCTTAAAAATTCACTTATTTTACACAAGCTACTTGCAGTTTTACTGATATTTTTAGAAATATTTTAAACAATTCTCTGTAAAAAAGAATTAACAACCATAGTACAGGTTTTTCTTATATTGTTTTAACAATCATACATACTTAACAGGATTCTTTTTTGAGACATAAAGTATTTTCTTCTCATTGTTCTATCAGCTCCTCGGTTGTTTTAACGCTATTTTTGCTATAAAAAGTGACCTAAAACATTAATATCACTAATAGATTGATTTTTATTTGTCCGATAACTGCAATTAAAATAATGACTGCATCTGATGTTGTCAAACACACGTTTACAAGGTGTGATATATACCTTTAATTAAACAGGCCTTAAAGTGTAATATAGGGATCAAACCTCAGTTACTTCTGCGCCACTGAGCTTAAAGTCACAGGATCTTACTAAAAACTTACTAATTCAACAGCTTGAAAGACATAAAAAAAGGTTTGCTGTGCAGCTTACACGATGGACAACCGTTTGGTAACTACGAGAGAAACAACTGGTGAACCAAGAGTCAACCTTTACCCCAGATCTTCGGGGGGCTGCTCTGCCGACAAGCGGTAATCTGGATTTGAAGCTCACTGCGACAGGCCGAGAGAGAGCCAAACACAACAAACAGACCAACGCCACGAGAAACTGCTATGGATGTTTTCTTCACAGACTATTTGAAAATGAACATACTAGCCTATAGTTTAATTGTAATGAGTGACTGCCTTAGCGCAGATAACAAGCGTGGAAAGATGTAATCAAACACACTCTTTTGCTTGTCTTTTGTTTGTGGTTTTTCTCTGCAGTTCACACTCACAACATCACACCAAAAACACTTAACAGCAGGAGTGTTTCTTTCACCATGTGCGTGATACAATCATGTTTAAACATTAAACAAGGCCCCTCGCTGCTTGTCCAAGACCCTACAGTTGTTAAAAAACAATCAACTCAGGATCCATGTTGGTCTACTTTCCCAAAAGTGAAGTTTAAAATGTTAACACGGCTCATTTTGTCCGCAGAAAGAATCTCAGCCTCAGTTGGTTGATGTAACGTTGCCTCTCCAAATAACCTCTCAGCACACTGAGTGACAGTGAGTAGGAAATGTCACTGACAGTAAGAAGTTCTTGAACAGTGAGTTGCAGCTGTGTTAATGAGATTAAACAGGAAGGCGAGTCGGCAACTTTCTGTTCCATCCATACTCATAGATTCATGGAGGTCAGGACTTGATACCATCTCATCCAAAGTCATTAGTCTGGCTGGGAGCTGCACAACGCTCATATTTGTGTTGTTTGTGCATTAAGAGATTGAAATAGAGTGTTTAAATCTGCCATGTAAGGTAGGCTTAACCAAGAGGTGTTATTATGTAGAGATAGATTCGTCCAAACTAATTAATTCAATGCTTGCAAGGCCGATAAACAAAAAAAGAGACACATCTTCAGGCTGCTGTGGAACGAGGTTTCCCCCTCTGTGAGTTTGTGGTGAAAAGTTGGTTTTGGAGCCCTGAACTTTAACTTCTCCTATCCTAAATTACATAAAATCTAAACTTACTGGCTTGTGTTAGATATACTGTATAATAATGCAGTTGAATGACGTTGCCTCTGATATACTGCGCCCTGTTAAGTTCTGAAATCTACAGCATTAACCAACTTTTTTATCGGTTTTGTTAATTAATACAAAAATCCCCTTTAACTTTTACTTTGTTACTGTCTCAGATAACCTTGTATATTAGATTGTAATGAAAATAATGAAAATATACACATATATAGCTCAAAATGCCATGTGTATATATATATATATACACACACATTGGCATTTTGAGCTACAAATTATAGTCAGTAACGTAATCCAGGTATCACAATATTAGTAACGTAATGCTGTAATGGATTACAGTTACCTTTTTTTGTATCTTCAATTACGTAACTCACTTATATGTCATCCATTACTCCTCAAACCTGCATAAAAAGATTTTTAGCATCAGAAACGTGTATTTTTAAAGAGAAAACTGCCTAAATAATCCTGATGTTTACTAAATTAATTAAACCCTTAATTTTGGTAAAGAAAAGAGGAAAAAAGGAGATAAAACCTTCAAAAAAATCAACCAACTTCAAAACAATTTCAACTAAACTCAACATTATAACCTTCATGAAAGAAAAGACTGTTGTATTATGGTTGTTATTATTATTTTTAAGCATTTTGGGGGGCTTTTTATTGCCTTTAGGACAGTGACAGCTGAAGACAGACAGGAAAGGGGGGCAGAAAGAGGGGACGACACACAGCAAAGGGCCACAGGTCAGATTTGAACCCTGGGCCACTGCAGCAAGGACTCAGCCTCAGTAGATGGGTCGCCAGCTCTGCCCACTGAGCTAACCGGAGGCCCAGAAACATGTATTTTCAAAGAGAAACTGATGTGTTTTAATCCTGCTAAATAATCCTAATGTTTACTAAATGTAACTGTAATCTCATTACACCTTTTCGTCTGTAACTGTAATGGATTACAGCTATGTTTTTGGTCTGTTGCTGCTTGCTTCACGCTCAGATTTCCCGCCTTTAAAGGTTTTGTTCATTTGAGACAATGTAACACCTTTAAATCAGAGTCTGTGATGTGTTCAGGGACTTTACATGTACAGGTTTGGAGTCAGATTACTTGATTTACACTGAGGTGTGACGATAGTTTCATTAACTGAGATCTTTGTCACGTCTACGCAGTTTGGTACAGGGGGGGAGAAATGTGTTGCACAGGCGCTAACAAGGGTGACATCATTTCAAAAGCCACCGAAGCTCCAGCGACATTTTGTTTTAGTCACATCCTCGGCTCTTCTTTTAACTCCACGTGACTGTTTCTGACCTCTAATGTGCTGATTTCTGACGTTGACATGAGCGAAACAAAGAGTTTGGGACTGTTATTGTCATCTAATGATGAGTAAAGGGGGTCACGTGACCTGACGAGGTCACACTCTCAGGTCATGTGAGACTCTCAGAGGCCTTTGTGAGGAGGGAATCCAGCAAAACTGAGCTGTATATGTTATGATATACTATTTTATATTGTTTATATGTACTAACAAGCTCACCTCTTCCTGTACTTTATTAAAATTAACTTCTATGTTGAGTCAATTTTATATTGTTTTGTACACCTTCTTATTTTAAACCCTTAATTTTAATTAAGAAAAGAAGGAAAAAGGAGATAAAACCTTTAAAAAATAAACCAACTTTAAAACAATTTCAAACTAAATTCAACATTATAACCTTCAAAAAGAAAGGATTTATTACAGACTGTTGTATTATTGTTGTTATTTCTTCACTAATGTAATATTTACCTGATTTAAAGTGTGGGACAAGAGGCCGCAGTTACTCATTAACCATTAATATTAATAACAAACATCCTTTAGGACACTGTGTCTGTGGAGAAACACAAGTTTGGCCTGAAAGTGTTTCAGTTTTCCAATGAGCTGATTTCAACGTAGATATAAACGATATAGAAAGGAAACAGTTTTATCTTTGAGCTCTTTTTCTTTCACCAGCTTCAAAAGAACAAGTCAGGACTTTATTTTATGTTTAAATGTCGACTTCCATCTTTATTAAATAAAAAAAAATCAGATTATAGCATCAAAATCTGTATTTTTTAACTAATCCTGCTAAATAATCCACATTTTTACTAAATGTAACTGTAATCTCATTACTTTTTTCTGTAACTGTAATGGTTACAGTTACCTTTTTGTATCCTAATGTAACTAATGAATTAGTTACCTTTGTTTGTAATCCTGATTATGTAACTCACTTACGTGTAATCTGTTACTCCTCAAACATTTTCTTTTACATATTTTTCTGTAACTGTAATGGATTACAGTCACCCCCTTTTTTGTAATCCTACTAAATCATCCTGATTTTACTCATTTTTAATCACCTTTTTCCAACTGTAACTGTAATTCTTTTTGGTAATCCTGCTAAATAATCCAAATTTTTTGTAATCCTGCTAAATCATCCTACTGTTTACTAAATGTAAATATAACTGTAATCTCATTACATATGTTTAGTCTCATTTGTAATTCTGCAAAATAATCCTAAATTTAATTTTTTAAATAATCATATTTAATAAATGTAACTGTAATCTGATTACAGTTACCCTTTGTGATCCTGCTAACTAATCCTCTGTCTTTTATTATTTTATAATCATTTTTACTAAATGTCACTGTAATCTCAGTAGATCTTTCTCTGTAACTGTAATGGATTACAGTTACCATTTTTTGTAATCCTGCTAAATAATCCTAATTTTAACTAATTTTTAATCCTAATTTATAACTGTAACTGTAATCTCATTACATATTTTTACTCTTTTTTTTGTAATCCTGCAAAAATAAATCCTAATATTTACTAATTTTTACTAATTTTTAACTGCAACTGTAATCTCATTACATCTTTTTTTGGATTACAGTTACCACTTTTTGTAATCCCAATTAAATATCTCCAGTTACATGTAATCCCTTACCCCTCCAGCCTGTAACGTTACATTTAACATTTAAATGTGGGACTTCCAGCCTCGTTACCCACAGACACAGACAACCACAGCCGGCCACAGACAGCCACAGCTACAGCCGAGCTCCAGCCGAGCTCCAGCGCTGCTCTGTGCGGTGTATTTCTATACCTGAGCCCCTCCTCTGCTCGCTCTGGTCGCAGGAGGTTGATGTCAGTCTTCAGGACAGGACTCAACTAGGCAGAGCTGGTTGGAGAAAACACTGAAGATCCACTGAGAGGAGGAAGAGAAGCAAAAAAGAAAAAAAGAAAAAGTGGGCGATGTTGCAGCTAGGATCTTGTTTGTGGACATTGTGGGAAGACTGTTGATACAGTCCGGATTGCTTTTTGTACGTATTTTTGTTCCCTGAAGCTGAGCTGAAAGACTCATCGCCGCAGTATTTCTTTCTTTTTTTTTTTTTTTTACACTAACGTTAGATCACTTCTGGAAAAAGGAATACAAAAATGTCGTCTCCAAGTCCGGGCAAGAGGCGAATGGATACCGACGTGGTGAAACTGTATCCTTCCCAGAACATAAACAAGCCCCAGAATAACCAAAAAGATGTGTTTCATAATGATTGTCAGCTCTCTTATGTTGGTTAATTAGCAGCATTTTGTGGTTCCCGATGGCTTGTAACTGTTAGCACGTATGTGTATATAAATATCTATCTATATATTTATATATC